GCGCTTCAGAATGGTATAAAACTTGCAAAAAATCTAATAGAAAATAACACTGCGGCGAGCAGTTGAAAATTAGGCGTCAAAAAACGTAAGAACTTTCTTCACGACTTAATAGATAAACAAAAGAACTCACAGATGTAACATGCCAAAAATAATGATCGCATATCGATGGATCTGTATGAGAACACTAGAATTGCAATAACGAGGCAACTGGTCCGCGACTGCCGCGTGCGGCGAATCCACTGGACAAAACCGATTCGAGGGCCCGTCGGGGGACGGAATATTCACCCATTTCTGGATGGACACGACAAACTGCAATTCGTGGTGATTTAAACGACCCTGGCACCTATCTTTGGGGCACAAATTCGAAGTAGGGTAGACAAGTAGCATCAGCTGGCCCTACTAACCCAATCTACTTGAAACATGCGCCCCAATGATAATCACGTTTAAGTTGTTTTAATCAACACGAATTTCGCCGCGCGGTTTGCCGAGCCACCCTGAAGGCTATGCAGTCAGTTTCATAACCATAAGCTTTTTTAACGTGGGCCTAGCCTTCAATGCTATAAGGCAATTAAATGAACAGGTTTCAGGTTGAAGGATCATGCGCAGAATTGAGAAATGAGGTACTTTTGTTTTTTTCCGCGACTTCCCGAACCACCTGTGTTAGGTAGGTCCCTGAGATGGAAGCTGTAGATGTCATATATGAGCAACTCTTCCTAGGTTCTCTCAAACCATTTACCGCATACCGCAAATAGACAAATTTGACTGCAATACTGACCTGGGCACACCTCGGGATACCATGTCCTTCACAAACGATTCGACAGTCATTCTGGCGTCTTGCAATCCCACGCTGGGGAACATCGGTGAATGATGTTCAGTGAGTGTTGCGCGAGAAGACTGTAGACGATGAGTTTGCAGAATGATCAGGTTCGTTACACTGAACAACTCATTCCGGTTATGAGAAGAAGAGAAATTAGGATAACAAGACATATTTCTAGGTGAAAAAGACAGAATTTTCAACTGGATTCACTTTGCGATTACGTCGATGTCGTAGCGACCACTGAAGCTGCTCAATGGATTCACGGACAAGAAAATGTGGATGTTCTGAACGACATTGCTATTGGATTGGCAAAAGAGTTCTTCAAAAAAGTCATTTTGAAAGCCAGTGAAAGTCATTTTCAACTCCGTTCTGAATTTCCAAATCCATGAAATAATAGAAATATCAGCGACAGCGAAGAATCAGCGATATCAGAAGGCTCCAATTCCTCCGACCGGATTAGTGATGCTTTTTGTCCGGAAGTCGGGGATCTATGACTCAAATAAATTATCGACTGCCGTTTTCGGAGCACACTGAAGTCATTCCCACAAAGGGATCTTCGACAAGGCGCAGCACATGCTAATCAAAATGGGTCCGGGATAACGACTGGTGAACAACCTAGGACCAAGCGAGGCCAGTGAATTTTGGACGTATATAAGGGTATATAAAGTAAAACTTCGATACGCTTCGTCGTTCCGTGGATATCTACGCTATTGTTTTAGCCATCCCTCTCTATCCGCATTGGCCCAATGCTGGAGTTTTTGAGGAGAAGCTGGGAATAGCTGCTTTCAGCAATTCATGGTGGGCCCTTCACACCTACACGAGATTAAGTGGCAAACTTGCGTTACTTCGAAGGCTACTATCTCCTACTAGTGATTCAACCAATTGTTGACCATATCGTTGGCTACATCCGCGTTTTCCCTTGGCGTGCCTGGTAGAAAATGATGGTACATATCTGGTGCTGTCCATTCATTGATGTGGAAGTTGCGAGAGTCTACGCTCTTGCCCTTGTTTACTAATATGCTGATCGCCCGAGGAATGTCCCTAAAGTTTATTACCCTCCGCGGTCACGTTGTTTGTACCGAGTTTTCCTTGCTAATTTTTTGTCCATTTTTTTCTGTCCACCTGATAAATTATCGCATGCAACCTGTTGTTCGGCCATTCCTCCAAACAGTCTGAGATGACTTTACCCAATGAGGAAGACAGCTTTCTGCTGAAAAGATAGACCAAACCCTTTACTTCTGTAGCCAGCGTGCTTTTCTATTTTGTGGTAAGACGAGTGAGTTCCAGAGAGCAAGCTTAGTGAAAGAGCAACCACACTAACCTTTGGTAGAACTGTCCTCAAATCGGCGAGAAATTGTGACAGAAATGTGGGATCCAGGACTGCGTCGAGTTGGCCGAGTGTCCATGAGATTTCAATGCCAGAAACGTCTAACGAACGCACCAACTAAAAAGTTCAGGTAACCACGTAAGCCTCAAAAATTTTCATCAAAGGGTTCCTCTTGGAATCTTCTCAAAGAGAGTCACTGCACAGTGATTTATACTCCTCCCCTAGCTGAGAGTGCTTGAGTACCTACATTCTTGATGTTGTTGATAAGATGCTTGCGTTTGATTATCGAACCGAGTTCCATCCGCCAGATGTCGTTCGACTGACGTTCACCAATCGATAAAATAATCTGCAATGCTAATGTTGCCTATCCCCTGCTGAACGATAAAGAGAGCGTCAGACAATGGAAGACCCTTCACTTTTGCAGGCTTCCCTTCAGAATCCTGCATCCATTGATTGATGCGAGCCATAAGTTTTGGAACGGCCGGAGGTACTTCGACGTTGTCGTTCAACTGAACATCCACTTATTCATAAGTTAAAATAACCGAATAAGACAGTAAATTTACCTGAATGTCAGCGGGACCAACGATAAAATGGCTGCACCAGTGCGGAAGCAACAAGTTGAGATCGAATTCCTCAGCTCCTTCGTTTAGATAGCATAAACGTGTGCACTGGATCGGTGGACGTCGTTGGTACTCTCTCACTCGGCATTTCAGCATCTAGTAATCCTTTCATGAGCGCTGATAGCCAATATAACTATGTATTGACTCATTCAGAAGGTGACTGTATTAGGTTCACGCTGTCCGGAGCTATGCTGGTAAATTTCGCCCGTTCCTTGATCTGAACATTGCTGTACCCACTTGGCGTTCTTCCAGGTGGATTTCACCCGTAATCCGATTTGTTAAAAAAAATCATACGCTGTCAGGAACATAGGCCCACACTTGGAAGTTGGACATTTTGCGCATACTAATCACCCTCATAAGCGATGAGATGACCGACTGACTCTTCAGCAAA